AAAAACTAAGGCTATACACCCTAAAATGTGCCAGACGATCGCTTGGGCGATTGCAAAGGCTATGGCACACTTAAAAACTCAAAAACTGCAGCTTTTCGCGGGGAACCCTGCCATTTAGGCCCATTGGCGCCCCTTAGGCCCAAGGCGGCCTCCAGAGGCCCATGTCCGTTGTGACGATGCGAAGATAGCGACGGCCAAGTCTCGCGCATTTGTCGCTTGGAATATCGTTGCGCGTCATGCGATCAATAGCTCGGCGGCCGTTAGTGCGATCCTCAATGTTTTTTCTCTTCCTTCAAAGTTTCTCCGCGTTCGTCTAGTTTCTTGATTTCTGATTCACTTCTGACTTTACACTGAAGCTAGCTATCCCACGCTGTCATTTGTGAATAGCCATCCGTTGTTCATCTGACTTGTTACCATTATATTTGTATTATGCAGTAATTCACTATAAATCTTGCGAAGATTTCAGTTCGGACATTGATGTGCTGTAACGTCGACGACGCTCGACGATCCGTCCTCCACGACAGTTATTTGCTAATATGGTAATTCATTCCTAGCATCGTCTGAACTTTTTTCATCTCAGGGATGTGAATCGAAATATTTTACACAATGTGTTTGACGATATTGTGAATAATGTGCTTTTGGACTGTGCTACTCGTCATTCATCGAAAGATTTACGATGAAATTGTCCTTCCAATGTTGTTTTTATTGTGGAATCACGGAATTCTAGAAATACATTGGGGTTTCTCTTATTTCAGGCCGCAAGTATTGCCTCGTTTCGTAAAGTGGTGCCGGCTCCGCACTTTTACGTCAAGGAGGAGATGACATGACAGAAAAGAAAACTAGAACAGAGTTTCGGAAGGAGAAAGATCTGGAGGTGCTTCTTTTTTATACTTTGTTTCTGCGGCCTTGGGGCAATCTTTGTCACCCCCCTGCTTTACAACATTAATAACAACAATAAATGCACATTCATTTGTGCCATAGAAAACATTTCTGAAACTGAAATACGTTCTTGCTTTTGCCCTTCGCAAAGTTGGCTTTACCCGTAAACGCACTCATGCTATTGTGCATTTATGGTCATTCTCGTGGTTATGACTCTTTTCTTGAAATTCTAGTCGTCTAGGATTTTTTCCTTAGGTTTGCTGTATTTGTTTTTATAGTTAATGGCAGTTTCTTGACCTTTTGATGGTATCCCTGTATTATATGATCAATGATCTGTATTATGGCACTTATCTCATGACTTTAGGGGCTTGCGAAAACTGCGGTGCTATGGGTCATGTCAAGCGTATTGCTTCGAACGTCCGAGGAAACTCGGTGCACAGTGAGTTTATTTCTAAACTAGTTAGGTAGTTTGACCAGCTTAGTTCATTTAGTGAAATATGTTGAAATTACGGATATCGTAATGCAGAATTATTGCACCCAGCGCGTTGCTAAGAAAATATTGCTATGCATGCGGGTCCAGCTTGGGGACCCCTTCTCCCTCGGCTCTGACATTTCTTGGGGACATTCTGTTTATTGAAAGCTGTTTTAGACAGAGTATATTGTCTTGAATATGTGATATATCCTTTGGCAAATAGAATAGTTCGATGAGTATTGCGCTCCAAGAAAGAATTCCTGTAGCTTTCTAAAGTTCGAAGTGTTTCGCATTAGTATCAGGGTAAGACTATGGTGGGGAAGGGACTCCAGCTGGGTTTTCTGACGTGCTTTCTTTTTCGAAGAGGGGGACAGGTCAAGACTATATATCACATATCTCTCATTTTATATTAGCCGTCAACTGGACCTTCGGATTTCTCTGTGGACTACAACATCGTAGACATTTCTGGCTATTTTTGTTACGCATTCGATTGTCGCCATCTACCGACGAGTGATTGTCCTTTACGGGCGCGACGCCACACAAGGCGGCGGGCTCTTTCCGAATGCATGTTTGCGTACTGAATGTAATACTTTCAGAAGTGGCGAGGTCTCGAGGCATGGAAATCACTCGTCATGTTTCAAAGAGCTACAGAAGTTTGCACGCAATGTGATCTCCCTCCTGATTTGGATGCTCTCCACCCTCCCAGGTAATTAGTTCCCTATTTCTTCGTTCTCGTTATTGTTTTGTTTCTTTTTTCCCTTGTGTTATCGTTCTCTTTCATTCTTTTCAACGCAAGAACAATCATTATCAGCTCTAAATCGTTTCATCCTTCCATTGAGTTTTTTTTCTGCCCGCAATTTGTTGATTTTTCAGGTACAAATTGTTTCGTGCAAGCAATCAAGGTTACAAAATCCGTGAGGTCCGCATATCATTTGCTCTAGTGGACGTAAACAAGAAGCGAGGAGATCATAGGATGCGAAATGAGATTTAATTTGTTTTCCTTCGTCAATTAGAGAGATTTCACATATGTGCATCTAACGTATGTAAAGCTACTGTCACGCATGCTTGACTATTCATTCTGTCCTGTTCATATCCATTTGTTGACGCCATTCCTCCATTTATCACGGTTTCAGCGTATTCACGCGGTTTATCGAGTGTGTGATGTGATTTACGAAGAATAAATTTTTAATTTTTGAGTCTAAACTGACATCGAAGAGCTACACTTTTAGAACAAGTTACACTGGTGGGTGTAAGAACAACACAATTTGAGAGGTTTCTCCGGTCAAAGCTGATTGGCAAGGCTTCGAGGGGTCTTTATTGAGGTGATGTGGTAGAAAATATTAGGTTTTTCGAGCTAAACGGCACAGATGGTAGCGAGTCCTCTTACAGGCAGCTCATTGTGCAGCATGTCCATTTGTCGTGGAATGAGTGATCTATGGAGCCAATACTTTTTGGAAGTCGAGGGCTTACAAGGTGGTTGTCAATTACACCCGCAACATGCCGCAAGACTGCTGGTAGGCTGCAGGTCCCTCTTCACAGCTTCGAGAACGGAGGAGACTGAAGCCGAATTTCATCGACGTGAACCGACGTGAAGCTCTCCCATGGAGCGACTGGCATGCATTTAACTGTATCGATCACAGAAAAGAGAAAAAAAGAAAGGAGGGAGGGAGAAGAAAGGAGATACAACGCTATCGATCAGCTGTTGGCAAACGGCCAGCATTTCAACACCGCGCGAAAAACTCGTCCGGACCCCGCCCCTTCGTCGTTCTTTGCTCGTCCAGCCCCGGTTCGGTACAGAGCCCCATAAAGGGCATTCCCCCCACTATTTTTCTTCGCTTTTTCTTTCTTAATGAGTAATTTCCTGCGTTCCAAATAGTATTTTAGATCCCTCAGTCCCCATATGTGGTCCAAGGCCGTGCTTTTAAGGCAGCGTTCCA